CCACTTTGTTCTCGTTTGGGTTGTTTATGTTTTCGTAAAGTTATAGTTTCATTATAATAGATTTTTAAATGTGACGTCACGAAATGTAGGACCCCTCCCAGCCCCTTGTCACACGATGTCACACTTCATCGGTACCCCCTCCCTCCCCCTTAACGTGTGACGTAATTTATGGATGGCCCCTTAAAACTAAATTTAACATCAGTCTCTCCTTTTCATTCTGTATAGAGAATGACAAAGATACACTGATGTCATGTTTAGGTTTAGAGAATCAAGCCAGAATCGACACCAGTGACTTAAAAGAGATATAAAGATACTAAATGTATAATAAATATAAATCTATCTATATATATAAAACTCAAAGGTGGCTGAGTGACATAGTGATCTATAAACGCACAACCCAAAGCACTGGACGGATCGGGCTGAAATTTGGCATGCAGGTAGATGTTATGACGTACGCATCTGCTAAGAAAGGATTTTGATCAATTCTACCCCCAAGGGGATAAAATAGGGAATGAAAGTTTGTATGAAACTTTGTCAATTTTAAACCGATCGGGCTGAGACTTTGCATGCAGGTATAAGAAGAATCATAGATGAATGTCATTGTGTATAATACAAGCCTGAGAACAAAAACTGTAGTCTACACTTCAGCTCTACACCGAAGCGAAGCGAGGGCGGGCCGCTAGTATTTATATATATTGAGTCTTGAAGTCTCAAATCTATTAGCCTATGACCTATAGGGACCTTATGACCTATGAAGGCCATCAAAACTGGCGTACATACCACTCAGACCACGGAGGCACTTATAAGAATTTGTAACCAAACTATTGACAAGTGGGATAAAAATAAAGAAACTAACTACATGCCTCCGTGCATCACGTATATTTGCAAAAAAAATAAAAATACTAAAAATGATATATATATAAATATATTATATACGGATTTTGTAAGTGGTATTGTTAGTGTGGATCGACAACAGCATAAAATATTTTCCCTATTACTGGGGTAGCAGTTGAGCAGCTGGCTACCCTTTTTTTGACATACGACACCGTCCTTGCAAAGTGACATACACACACTACATTAACGAGTTGCCGCTCAGTGTGACCAGATTCAGTATTTTAATACTTTTTCAGTATATTTCATCGATTTTTCCGAACATCAGTATATTTTCAGGTATATTGCTGGCTGTCAGTATTTTTGGGTATATTTTGGTAGAAGTTATGGCAACACCATAGTGAGTGATCGTCTTTGCGACAATGTTTGCGGAATTCCCCGGAACGCGAACATTGGGGACTTCCCCGGATTTAGTTTACATATACTTATACATGTTATCTATGAGTAAGTTACAGATATGACAAGAAAGACGGCCGTTGTCGGCGTTGTAGTATTGTAATACTACATATACAATTATCAATCAATACATAGTATTAATCGGACTTGCAGAATGTATGTTCGCCTAAAACTTTACAACTGCTGGACCGATTTTAATGCGGATTGCACTATTAGATAGAGCGTGAAGAAATGAAGGAGGTTGTGTAAATTTTAATCCTTCGAAAAGGATGTTAAAATATAATTCTAATATTTATTGTGAGTACGTATGAATAAATAAAATGTGGAATTTTTTCTAGTTATATTTTCTTTAGATTTAAACATCAAGCAGTTACATGCTTTAAAAATAATAAAAATTATAAATAAAATGTGTTAAGAAAATCAGTATTTTTATTGGTATATCTGTCCTATGTAAGTCGGTATATTTCAGTATTTTTTTGAGGTGCCTCGGTATTTTCGTAAAATTTAATCTGGTCACACTGTTGCCGCTTAAACGGAGCTGTTTTTTGATAGCGCGGTATCTAGTGGAGAGAAGAGAGACCAATCATTCATCTATGGTCATTGTATTCTATCTATCCGTTATCCTAGTATCCCATAACACAAGCCTTATAGTGCTTACTTTGGGGCTAGGCTAATTGGTGTGTGTGTTGGAAATATTTAAAGTTTAATTTAAAAATAAATGGTGAAAAACTAATTTTAGTCGATACTACCGTTTTCTTAGGCGTAACACTAGACCACAAACTACAATGGAACCCTCACATTAAAACACTATCGGGTAAACTTAGTTCTGCTGCTTATGCAATTTATAAATTAAGACGGCTTACAGATGTCGACACTGCTAGGACAATATACTTTAGCTACTTTCACAGCATCATGTCATATGGCATTCTATTGTGGATGCCCCATTGACATTGAAACAGTATTTATTCAATACATAACATAACAGTACTGATGCTGCTGACATTGAAACAGTATTTATTCTTCAAAAACGAGCTATAAGAGGTATTTACTTAGGATCTCGAACTTCTCTTAGGGATACATTTAAAGAAATAGGTATAATGACTGTTACCTCTCAATACATTGCGATTGTGCGTCAGAACATAAATTTATATACTCCAAAAGGTTCTTGGTTCATTTGTGGGTCAAAGTGTATGTTACTATAATAAAATACCAAAAGAAATAATAAATTACCTAGTGTCTATAAAAACTTGTCTCTAAAGGTTATTAAAGGTTATTTTACAGTTAATGTTTTTATAAATGATAAGGCACCTTGGGCTTAATATATAGACTAAGTCGTTTTACTGTACTATTTAGTTGAAAATTGTTAGTTATACTTAACTTATTGTTAATTAATAATATTAATGTGAAGAAAGATGACATCAACACCTGTTTTTAGTTTTTGATATCATCTTTCAATTGACGACACTGTATGAAACAAAACAGGAAGAAAAAGTAGCCCTTGCTGAGTTTCTTGTCGGTTCTTCCCGGTACAAGGTCTTTCGCCGTAGATTTACTAACCGATGGCGTAGCGTTTGACTTTCAGAAGAGCTTGTAACATGTTTAGTTCAATATCTTTGGTCCTTTAAGAGTATTGATTATGAAATTTTGTAAAGCCAGGGCACTATTTGCGAACTATTTTTGTGTGTCAATTTCGTTGCTTAAATATATGCCGTTCTTGGGGTCGGCCATGGGTACGCTAGCTTGACGTCATGGTAGCGTACACAGTAAAAATGGTATTTATTTCTTAAATTAAAGAGGCACTATTTTTATTATTTTTACACTAATTTGGCACTATTTACGCACTATTTAATGGCATAACGAAAACCCGTATATTGATCGTGGGTACGCTAGCATCACGGACACCTTGTAACAGCCTAGACTGAATAAATGAGTTTGAATTTAGAATATAACGCTGTGTTTTCTACACATAGAAGCACTTCATGTAGGATATAATCAAACTTGAAATTAATGCCAATCCAATCTTTTATCAAGTCAAGTAAACAGTTCTCTGATTTCTCAACTTCATAACATGGATATATTGGAAAAACAATTAGCAGACCTACGAGTACAAAGTCTGTCTAGAGTCTAATACTGGCTCGTGGTCACTGCAGATATAGCGGGTTCACGGCTCGTTTTCGAACGAGACACTCCTAAGGGTCAAACCCCCCTCTACGGTTTCACACATCGCCCCTCGGCGCGGTCAATCAAGACCACCGAATGAGATCCATGTGGGAGGCTCACTGAGGGGGCGACGAGAGGAGGGAGCACCGTCTGTGTGGGTAGATGTGAAACACAGTTATCCGTGTTTCTGCAGGAATTCTTTCATCTGCTCGGCGATGTCGAGCAAATGACGAAGGCCGGTGTTAGGCTATGTTCCGTGGTGTTGGCTGCGATGGGTGGTGGTGCGGTGAGGGTAGTCGTGTTGTTGATGTGACTCTTAATTTTGTTGCATCGGCTGCGGGGCTTAGATTCAGTTGTGTGGGTGTGGCGTTCGCGGGAACTATTAAGGTGGCCGGCGCGTGCTCGCTCACCTCGTTCCTTTGCTTTTGGGCTGGTAGTACTAAAACCGGCCCTGTGGTAGATATTTTCTGGGGCGCTTTCGTGCTGTTTATACGGAGTCTAGAGAATAAATAATCAAAGATTAAACATTTGACAGAAGAAATAGCAATTGTAGGTTACTATATTTGTTTTAAACATTGGACTGCTATATTTATAAATCATAAAATATTTGTAAGTAGAATTTTAATCTACGCTTCACATGACTATGCTTGAGCCCTAATTAGTACTTCATATATAGTCATAGCCATGTATTCGTAAAAAGGGGTCCCTTCGAGCACCCGCCCCCCACTCTGAGCCCCGCGACCCACGAATATTTCATCTTTCTCGGCAAAAAAAATATAACAATAAAAAAATATATTCTGACGACTTGAAATTGGTTAAAAATAGTAATAACCTTCTTAAGGCACTTAAGGGTAAAAATGTTCGCTCTGTCTTTTCCCCCAAGTCCCAAAAATAGAAGGACGAAGTATAGCGAGATAGCATCACTATATAGTTTGTGAGCGAGATATAGGCTTGTTGAAAATATATCGATATTTTTTGCCGATATATTTTGATTCGATATATCGATACAAAATAACCAATATCGAAATTCGTATCAAAAACGATATTTTTTTAATTATTAGCGGCATATCACGATCTAACTAAATTCGTATCTGGAAAAATCGTAACTGGATCTCAGATTAATGATATTCAACATATCTATGATCTGTGCTGTATTAAATATGGTCTATGTCATCATTCGAAAATAGGGTCTATTTTTAGGGAGATAATTTTCGTTCCATTATTATTCCGCGTGTCATATTTCGTGAGCTACTGTACGATATTTTTGGGAAAATTGGTCCGATATATCGATGTTTTTTTCGCGATATATCGAAGCCGATATTGATATTATTTAAAATATCGATGTATCGATATATCGATTATTTTTCAATTTCGACATCCCTAGCGAGATAGAAAGAAGAGAAGAAATCGAAATCCTCTTACCTAGGCATGGGAATGAACGAATTATTTGATTTTTCCTTGTCTATGATCATTCATTCATTATAATGACAGACTGTAGCAGTGCAGTTGATGATTTAATTCAATGATCAATAAGTGCTTGCTCTTGTTCTGTGATTGATCTTATCGAGGCTCAGGTATTATTTTCTTTAATTTTTCCAAAAACTATATTATTTCAGATTTTGTTGTTTTGTGAAGTATACTTATTTTCATATATTAGAGGAATGTAAAAAGTCCTTATCATAATCTTCTATATTATGTACGTCACCAACAAAGAACCAATCGCTGCAACTTTTTCTTTGATGTTAACTTCTTACAGTAAAATAAATAAAATAAGTTTATATAAAGATCTAATTTTATAACGCTGTGTTGAGAATAGAAGCATTTCATGTAGGATATAATCAAACTTTAAATTAATACCAATGCAATCTTTTATCAGGTCATTCTCGACTTGATAACATGGATACATTGGAAAAACAATTAGCAGACCTACAAATGGCAACTATAGTCAATACATCAAGCAAAGTGAAAAAGGTACCTCCTGCCATACCACCTAAAAAGAAGGCACAACCTCAGGTTCCTTACAGCACATTGGTAACTAACATTCAAGAGCCATCATATTCAAAGATGATATACTCTAAAAATAATGATTCGTCTACATACAATAATTCTCCAGGAAATAATCGGTCTGCGATTTATGCTAATATAAACCATTGCGAAGGAAACCGTCCTAGTCATCTTCAGAAATATAATGTGCCAATGATATCTGCAAGCAAAAATGTTACATATGGTAATATACCACAGTTTCGAAGAAGTGACGATGACTTACCTCCTCCGCCACCGCCACCGCCACCATCTCACTTGATTTTGTCCCAACCAAAACCTTCCACAACCAAGCAGTTAAATGACGATTTACTACCTCCGCCCTCACCAGTCAGTTCTAACTATAGTGAGTTAGTCCGTGCTACTACGAATTTAAGTTTTAATCAAGACCGGGCATTTCCTCCTACATATCAAAATGAATATCCAGAGTATGGAGTTTCACAGTCATCAACATATGAATCACTCTATGAACCAATCAATCCTCATCCACTTTCAAAAAGTTCTAAAGAAGTAACTAGCATTCCAAATTATCAAAATAATATGCCCAGTCCAAGTTTGCGTAAAGAAGAAGAGGTTGATGCTCTTACAAACCTTTTGGTACAATCAATATCAGACAGTCAGGACTTGGACGTTTTTGGAGTTTGTGTGAAATGCAATGAGAAAGTCATTGGTGAAGGTTCAGGTTGCACTGCTATGGGAAATATGTATCATGTGAAATGTTTTTCGTGCTGTAGATGTTACATAAATTTACAAGGCAAGACGTTTCATGCTGTAGAAGGACAACCATATTGTGAAAAGGATTACTATGAAAGTCTGGAAAAATGTTCAGTATGCGACAATCCTATTTTAGATAGGATTCTACGTGCAACTGGTAATCCCTATCATCCGTCCTGTTTCACTTGCATAGTTTGTGGAAAGAGCCTCGACGGAATACCTTTTACAGTTGATGCAATGAATCAAATTCATTGTATAGAAGATTTTCATCGTAAATTCGCACCTCGCTGTTGCGTATGTGAACTTCCTATAATGCCAGAAAGTGGAGAAGAGGAAACTGTAAGAGTTGTAGCTTTAGATCGCAGTTTTCATGTACGCTGTTATTGCTGTGAAGACTGCGGGCTTTTACTATCATCTGAAGCTGAAGGTCGCGGGTGTTACCCGTTGGACGACCATATTCTTTGCAAAGAATGTAATGCTCATCGCATTCGCCTTCTAACAAACGTTATGACTACTGATCTTTAATGGTCAAAACGGTAATTTTGAATAAATATTTACTTTTTGTACTAATAATAGTACTTATTCATTATTCAATGTTTATGGTTAACAAATAACTAAGATCGATATCGTACCTAATACTTAATATTGTTTTTGAGACAAGTATAAAAAACACCATAATTTTAAAGTTTAGCTTGGGAATTCGTTATAAATTGACTATTAGTCGATTACATAAAAATGGAACATATAGTGATGTTTTTATTTATTTTTAAGCATTTAACTGCTAGATGTTTAAATCTAAAGAAAAGTTTACTAGAAGAAAAAAAATCCATGCGGACCGGATTTTTTTCTAGTAAACTTTTCTTTAGATGGAACATATAATTTGTTGTTCCATTAATATATTTATTAGTTGTGATTGATATCGATTAACCTACGTAAAGTTATTGCATAAGATTTGTCACTGTTACAATTACTCTGCTATAAAAATGCCATATTTTTAAGGTTTACTTTGGGAATCCGTTATAAATTTAAGTGCCTACTAGTCGATTTTATTTGAGTTTTAAAAACAATTTATCAAATGATTAATGTATATTAATTCTTAAATTACCTGAATAAAAATGAAATTGTGCAAATAAACTAATCATTACAAAAATAAATTGTTTATTGGCTTTGAAAGTTGTAAAATACAGGTGTATTGAAAATTTATTGAGATTATTTGTTATTTATTTATAATGTATAGTTGGTAACATATCAAGTTCCCATAAAGTGTAAAATTTATTAATACGAAACTTATTTTAAGCACAATAAACCTTAAAGACAGTTGTAGAAATTAGACTATTTTGGTAAACTTTATCTTTTATTGGTTTATGATTTCGTTGGTAAATTATTATTATTAAATTTATTATTATTTTGAATGATATTTTATGAGAATTTTTGTTTGTTTATTAACTTTCATCGTTCTTTTTCTCTATTATGCTTAGTTAAACCATATTTACAGAGACGACATTAAAAGTTAAAGAAAAGGACAGAACCAATTTTAAAAATAAAATTACGTCTTTGAGTGCGCCTGTAATCAAATTGATGACATTTGTATGAAATATTAATAGTTAGTGTTTTATCTAAGTTATTAAGTATGTAATACTAAGTTTGTTACACATTCCATACAAAAACCTGACATTTCTGGGATAAAAAGTATCCTTCGTCTATTTATCTTCTAATTCAAATTCATTCAGCCATTTTTGCATAAGTAACAAACAAATAAACTCACGTTTATGATACTATAATAAGTGGGATACAGGACGTACAAAACAATGGGGCAGCTGGTGAAATGGCAGAAAGTTCAAAAAAGCAATTCGTCAAAATTTCGTTTTGTTTTAAGTTAATATCTAGGACTATAGAAAACGATATGTTACAATTACCTTATCAATATTTTCAAATTCCGTTAACAATGTTGTGAAAGTCGTACTTATAAATCCGTTGTATTATTTATTTCTTACTAGGTGACCTAATGAACTTCGCACCACTTACAATAATTTTGGAGAAAGTGAAAACGAAAATTAAAAAAAGTGATAATCCGAATAATGTGGATATATGTACCTAGTCGATCAAAACCCTAAATTTAATACGTGCTTCAATTTGAGTGGACCTGAGTCTACCGTATCGAAGGGACGAACATCAAATGTTTGACAGGAAAGTAGGTAGAATTGTTTAAATGGTAAAATTAAATTGTGGGTTTTACTATGTTGCTCGCAATTTTTCCATATTTTCTTACCGTTGAAAACTTTCCTGGACTACAACGAACATTTCAAAACCGGTATCAGTTAAATCAGCCCAGCCATTCTCGAGTTTTAGCGAGACAAACGAACAGCAATTGATTTTTATATACATATAGAGAAGATATTTTCAGTAACAGTAACTTTTGTATTGCTGCTACACAATATTCCATTCAATCAACTGTTCCATTGTTTTGTACACCTGAATATTTCTTTAGTTAGTTAATTTTATGAAGTATTTATATATAATAAATACAAACAAAGTGTTGACACCATGCATTTGTTTCTATTTTTAATATTTAATTATCACCTAATTTATAATGCTAATTATTGTAAACAACAAACAATAAATTGGTTGTATAGATTATAAAGTAAGTTTGATTTTGTATCATAACAACGAACATAATAAGATCACTTCAAATTTGAAATCATGGTTAAACCTAACCCTATTAATTACTAAATGTTTATAATACTGGCAATAAATTTCGAACAAGAGGCACAGACATCACAGTCAATTTATCTCTCCCTACACATCTAAATATCAAATAACTCGCTCACAGCCACACTTAGAGATGTCAATCATAATTTGATAAAGTTAATGCTGTATTTTTTTATAGCAGGCTCAGAATATTTATAATGATAGATCAAGTGAGATAGGAACCAATTATAATATTAGAGTAATACGTAACTTTGTAAGTTTAATTGACATCACTGAGTGTTGTCGTTAATACTATCATTAAAATACCAGATATAAGTATATAATCATAAGTAAAGTATTCTGCCAAAAATATTTGATTTACAGACTACACTATTATTTTTAAATGCAATTTATCATAAAAAAGATTTTTCTAATTTTACAAAATTTTAAACTTGTGAGTAAATGATTAATTAATGAGATCATTTTAAATACGGAGCATTAACCTAGTAAAAAGGTGAGATATCTTGTATAATAAGATAGAGGAAAATTTCAAAATGATCATAAAAATAGATGTGTTTTACTTTGCTCTGTTAAAATTTTTCACATCCAGTCTGTTATTTATTGTGTGTTGTTTGTCTAGTGTTTCAAATTTATTTTTAACATTCACTATAACATCGGGATGAAAACTGGTGCTTTCAGACTGACGGCATAAAATTTCTTCATCCGAATTTATGTTTATTCTGGGCTCAAATTTCTCTCTTAATATGGAAAACTTTCTTCTTGGACGACTTCTTGATCCTTTTTTTGTATTAATGGTTTTTGTAGTATTGTCAGCAGTATCGTTAGGAGTTGAATCCTTTTGAATTAATGATTGTAGAGATGAAGATATACGATTTGATGCCAAATCTTCGACTGAACTATGTGGAATTGAATTTTCAGACACAATTTGCCATAATAAGTCTATATTTTTACTAGAAAGATCTTGGGCATTTTGTTCAGTTTTATTGTTTTTATGTTTTGCTGTATTTCCGACAGAACTTTGTGGTAATTTCGTGTTTTGATTGTAAAATGAACACATTTCAGTATAATGTCTATCATCTCTCATTGATTCAATAGGACTTGGTTTGGGATTTTCAAACTTAAAACCATAAGAAACATTTTCTTTTTCAGGATAGGATATCATTATATTACTAGAATCGAATTTCGAAGGTTCTTTCCATAGGGCTCTCTTTAAATGTGAATCAATTTTATCGTGCGTTTCCAGTAGAGGAGAGTCCCAAATGTGATTTCTCCTGACAGAAACATTCCTTGGGGAATTATTAACAGTAACTTTTCTTATTTCATCTATTGTAGCAACCAAAGAACTTTCTGAATTTAGCCTCTTTTTAATTGGCTGGTCTTTATCCCCCAAGTCATCTAATTCTTCCATTATTGGCTCTAAATGATTGGGATCTTTCAATACATCTGCTACACAAGGTTTTGCTAAAAAGGTATCATCGTTTGGATGACACATAGCAGCATTTACGTAATCTTCTTGGCTTGTTCTTTCAAACCTAACAAACACATTAGAATAAGTTGGAGATTTTTTTGGAAATGGTGAAGCTGATAATATAGCGTTTTTCAGTTCCTGTGACAAACAACTACTTATTTCTGAACTTCCTGAAGTAAGTGTGTCACGTCTTCTATCCCGCACTACACTACCGTCGTGTAACCAATTTTCAATATCAGAGTATCCATTCCACGACCTCAAACCCCATGCTTCCCTTGCTATATTGACGGCACATATATTTTCATAATCATGAACAGAAAGAATTTCTGTTGGTGTATCAAGATCACGTTGCTTCGATACAAAAGTATCAACGTTTAAAAGACATTTGCCTTTTTTGGTATACATTTCCTTCAAAATATCCAATGCTATCCTTTGGATATTTTCAATATCAGCATCTTGGTTTCCCACTTTGATATTCTTTAGAGCACTTAAACATAATTTTTGAACAATATTTTCATTAAAAGTATTAATATCAGAACTATTTATATCACTAAAACTTAAATCTAAATCCATATCAATAGAATCAGATGATGTTTTCTTATTAGAACCATCCGTGTCTTGACTAATTTCCGAACAGTGATCAGTCTTGATATTTTTTATGTAATTCCTGTTTACAATGTCAATATTGATATTCGGTAGATCATTCCTTAACTCGTCTGATGAACAAATTCCACGTCTTTTTTGTAAATTAAGATTGTTGCTGGTTATTTCGTCAATTGAACTTTCCAAACTATCTATTGATGATAACTTTAAATTTAGTTCTGTAGGCAAACAGATTTTTCGATCTTTATAATTGTTCAAGACTCTTTTTAAATTTCCACATTCGTCCAACGCATCCATTGATAGCGTAGTCTGTGGGGTATTCTCAACGGTATAAAATTCGATACTTGATACGTCCATGCTATTATTTCCTATTGGTACCGAAGAAAATGTTGGTGTCCCAGATCTTGCTATCCAGTGATCTAATAAGAATTTTTTATCTGCGTTGTGTGTATCGTTCTTTGATATTTCACTTTGAGCAGATATGGTTTCCCTATAAAAAGAAAGCTAAATTTGTATTACGTTTATAATGATTAAGAAACAAATAATACTATAATGTTTATCAACAAAAAAATATTAAATACTTTCACTCACCTTGTTTTTATATCATCTTTCTCTTTTTGTATTTGTTTGAAAGATCTTAAATTATCAGACTTTTTTTCCACAACATCTTTATTACTAGACACATGTTCTATATCAGTTTTATTATTTAACTCAAGCTCATTATTACTTTTTTTCCACTGTATAGGACCATTGAAATGAAAGTATCTGTAGTATAAAATCATTGAAAAGATTCCTGTAAAAATAATTTACTTTATAATAACATTAAAGATTATAAAAAAAAAACAAAGATTAAAAAGTTGGGTAATAAATTACCAATCATAGTTCCTCCAATCACAAAGACTGTAGCTACCATAGACCACGTCTTGTTTTGCTGGTCATAATTAGAAAACAAATAGTATAAAAATAAACTCCCAAAGTTTTCAGTTACAGTTAAACTGTAAAATATGATAAGTCTGTATCTGGTGGAACCTTCTTTTAAATTAATATAGCAAAAATAATATACAAATCCCATTACAACATTATAAAGAGTTTCTTCTAGTTTATTATGACAGAAAGTTGTTTTTTGGGTAATGATCCAAAAAGTCATAGCAGTCCAATGTAGAGCTGTAAATATAAATTTTAGGAATGAAAGTTTGTTTAACAATTTACATTGTTCATGTTATCCTTAGCATGGATACTTTTTATATCAGCAATCATAATATTTATAGCATTATTTTCTATGCATGTTGGAACAATTTTATTATTTATCAACAGTATCACCCTAATATCCTTACCTAAAGGTATTAAGCTCCATAAACCAAAACAAATGGTGCATAGTAAAATACTAGATATTCTACCAAGTAACATACTAAAGTGCCATATATATTTGGACAGTAAAGATTTCCAATTAATATTTTGATTATAAAATGCTCCTATACTGTAAATATAATTGCTGCATCCACAAATTACAGATGCAATTGAAGCTGTCAACGCAAAAACTGAAAAAAAAGGATTTTTATTTTATAACAAACTTAAAATAACAAGCCCATGCATAAATAATAAAATTGAATTTTAATGTGGTTAAACAAAAACATACTTTTAAAATATCTTACCTTTTGTATGATAGTTATCATTCATTACTATTACTGCATAAGACTGTAGAATAACTTGAGGAACTGTCCCAGTAAAAACATGTAAGAAGTGTAATAGGCTTAAATCATTTTGCTGTATTACCAATTTTTGAGTTTGTGTTGATTCAAACATATTACAGGACAAAACTTTGTGTAGAAAAATTATATACCTAATAAAGAAAAATAATAAAACATAAAAATATTCAGAAATAAATATCTTTTGAACTTGGTTTAGATAAAAAAACTAATTTTTTCCTCATTTAAGTATATAAATATTAGTGAGTAATAACTAAAGAGACAGATTACTTTTGTACATAATAGTAATAGATATTGTTTAAATGATTATGAATTTATTTTTCAATAAAATTTACCTTTCCAGAATTCCGACTAGGAAGATGTGTGTTACCCAGTGTCTAACATTAGACTTAACATTACTGTCCTTCACATACCATCTTATTGAAAATATATTTGTAATGATATTTGGAGCAAATATGAGTAATAAAGTGGGCAGTGCCCAATACCAATACCCGGCATTGCAATATTCAGCAAACACCAAAACATCTGAAAAAAAAAAACAATGACATACTATGTAAATATCATATAAAAACAGTTTCATTGAGGAATATTGTTATTATTCACTGCTACTCAGTAAAATACTACGACTTATTAAACTTAACTTTTTAAATAAAAACACAACTGCGAGCAGTTAATTAAACCAATTAAATTTACCTGTCGTCAAGTCTGCAAGTATGGTAACAAGTGAAATAAACACACACAATACATTTAATACACAAAAGTTTTCTTCTTGTGAATTCGCTAATTTATTTTCTACTTTGTGATTTTCTAATCTACATACTTCGGCCATTTCACAATTCAGGCATTCTATGTAATTGAAATAAAAATATACCTATACTTTAAAATACAACTGGCAATATGAGATAACGCTTGCATTACAAACTCGCAAACTGGTATAACAACAAAAAAACTTTTCGACGCCGCCGGCCAGATGTATAGAGTACCAGCCAGTTGCCTACAACCTACAATAAAATCGCCCAATGGGATAAGAATGTTTTGCCACCGCAGGCGCAAGTTTCGGCAGGTAAGGAAACAGAACACACAAAAGAAGGACAAAAAAATGAACGACTGTAAAGAATGATTGAATAATACTCGATATGATTCTTTTGTCTATCTCGATATTTACAAATCTTGTTTTTAACCTGTGGTAAAGTGACTGATGAATGGAAACATCCAGCCAATCGACATTCGATATCGCCGCCATTCACCATCACAGATTTCGGGGTTACGTTCTAAACCTAAGATCGGTGTGCAACTTTTTACCCTGATGTATATTTTGACATATAATTTATGGATCTTTTTTCATAATATTGGTTGCACCTGGAGCGTAGGTTCTTAACGCAGTCCTGAGATCTTTCATTCTTTCACCATTCATTCACAATCATTGACAGTAGACAAACTATTTAGAGTAGTATTGTTTTGTGAACTATTGATATTTTTTTATTTCAAATAGTTTTATTTCCTTTTTAGTTTACGCTACTTAAAATTCTTATTATAAAGACAAGTGTCCTTTCCTTGGACATCATTTTATGTTCTTTCTTCTTTTATTATGGCATGAAGGCTAATATTGCCATTTGCCACTTATTTTATTTATTATATCTCATTTCGGATTTTGGTGGCAAAATGATGCAAGATGCCTTGTTAATTTTATGGGATTCATCTGGATTGAATGATAATGTAGGAGAAATTAAATATCAATCTGGTAATATGAAGCCAAAATTTGTATTCTATCTACTGTTTAATAAATCTGTATTTCAGAAAAACCATATTCTGTTTGCTGAACAAGGCGATGCTGAGATTTATAACAGAATATGCGATATTGCAAAATCTCACCAAAAAATAAAAGTTTTCATTGAATCTACTGGCTTCCATAGTAGAAAATCACAATCGGGTATTTTTTTTTAATAATTTTATAAAGCTTGTCTAACTTGAGTTTATTAAATACCTAATAGAAAAGCAATAAATTAGCTTAACTAGTGCTGTAGGAGATGCCAATTTAACTATCAGTTTTTATATTTGTTGTATTAGCATCAGGAGTAAAGTCGTCTGGTTTATACACTCAAGCTTTAAGCGAAGGCCTAACAGAAGTTCTTCAATCATATAAAAAGACTTTGGTGGAAGTTGAAAGTCTTGTAATTGGAAACCACAAATATACATTATCTTTTGTATATAGTTATGTCGAGAAGTTCCAGGGCTTATTTAATGTACTAAATAAAATAATAACCACAATCAAACAGAGGAGACTTGTTGGTTGCCAGATCTTGAGTTTAATCCATCAATTCATACTGAATGGAAATGAAATGGTTCATGTTGCAATGGTCAGGTAAGAAAACAACTGCAATTTCTTGATATGCATTAATTACATAAATATTGATGTTATTTATAATGTTTGACTTGCTTTTTTCTATATTATTTAAGGTAATATGTATTATATAGTAATAGCTACCCCTTAGGGGCCATCCATAAATTACGTCACACGTTAAGGGGGAGGGAGGGGGTCGATGAAGTGTGACATCGTGTGACAAGGGGCTGGGAGGGGTCCTACATTTCGTGACGTCACATTTAAAAATCTATTATAATCGAAATGTTGAAACTATAACTTTACGAAAACAAACACCCCAAACGAGAACAAAGTGGTGCTATGCCTGTTATAAATAATTTAAAGAAGCGGGCTCAATGTCTATGGACTCAAGATTATTAGGTTTGCATTTTTAATGTAATCATAATGCTATTCATATTTGTTTTGTTAAATTGTTGGATTTGATGTTAATATTATTAAAAAACAAATTTGAATGAAAATGAAACTAATTTCAGATCCGCTGTTTACATTCAATAATTTCTAAATTTTGTAAAATATGTGACGTCACACTAGGGAGGGGGGGAGTCTCATAAATGTGACCAGCTGTGACAAGGACGGGGGGAGGGGTAAAAAATCATGAAATTCGTGTGACGTAGTTTATGGATGACCCCTTATTAACCCGTTACTAATTGCCATTCTCAGGATATTCTCATGTGTTAATAAAGTATTTGTTAACCAACTATGCACCTGGCTTTTATATGGAGAGTTGAAAGACCCTTTTCAAGAGTTTTTTATTTATAAAAATGAGAAAGTTGAATTTTCTGACACATTTCTCTCATCGCCTTCATCAAATACATGTGACAAATCATTGGTATCAACTGTAAGTTTATTTTTTTATTTTTTAGATTGCAAAGTTTTTTTTTATGTAAACTAAAGATTGTATATTACACTAGTTTAAGTAATGTAAATAAAAACTAGTTGAGGTTTTGATTTATTAAGCACAAGTGAGTGCCTGTGACATCATCTGCATTGAAAAATTGGTTTCCCATGCAAACTTCCAGAAAAGGGGGTCTCTTTTCCCCCCTTTAAAAGAGTTCATTCAATAACTTCATTAAGACTCTGTCCCACAACCTGTGTTGTTGCGGGCGAGGCAGCGCACGCATTGTTGCCAAATGTATGAGAACTCTAACATTTTAATGGCCAACAGTTTAAGTTTGAAGAGGTAACAGACTTTTATGCATTTATAATATTAGTATGAGTAAATTTTTAGCTTCAAGATACAACTTTGGACTGTGGGTACCAACTGACTTCAAACATGATACCATTTTTTATGCCTCTATCCTTGGCACAAGAGATACTTTTTATTGGAAAAACAGTTATTCTGTTCAGTTATGATCCCAAGAAAATTAAGAGGAGCCAGTGTTTCACTTCAAGGGCCGTGCTACCTCTCCAGAGGTGTGGAGTTGAGTCTAGAAGGTTAGTAGTAATTCATCATCAGCCTATTAATGTCCCCACTGCTGGGGCACAGGCCTTCCCTATGGATGGAATAGGGAGATTGGGCCATGACCCACCACGCGGGCCCAGTGCGGATTGGTGGGTGCTAACGACTGCAGATGCAGCCGGGACCAACGGCTTAACGTGCCTTCCGAAGCACGGAGGAGCTCGAGATAGTAAATTTTTGGTCACCCATCCAATGACCGACCACTGCGAAAGTTGCTTAACTTCAACGATCGCAGCCGAACGCGCTAGCCACCTGCGCCATCGAGCTCCTCAGTAGTAATTAGTGTCATATAATAAAATATCAACAAAAATTTGTCCAAAAACGATAACTTTAAAACGTAAAGTGGAAATGGCGCTATTAGATCGAGGTGGTCTGAAAAGCATTCACCTGCCGCATCTTTATGATATTTTACCAACCATTCCACCTACAACCGTTGAAGCTGAACATTTTTTTTTCTAGACTGCTAAACCTCGTATCAACGAGGTAAATAGAAATCTCGTACAAAGGCGTTCGTTACTGATATATAATTGTGATTTTATATTATAATTTTATCGAGTGCGTCACATTTCAAAATACGCCCCTACCCCTCTAGCATGACCACCGAAACGGGATGAAGTTCCAGATTTAGCAGTCTCTATACAATCATGTATAGACTGCTAAACCTCGTATCAATGAGGTAAATAGCAATCTCGTACAAAGGCATTCGTTACTGATATATAATTGTGATTTAATATTTTAATTTTATTGAGTGCGTCACATTTCAAAATACGCCCCTGCCCAGAGGGGGCTAGAGAGCATGACCACCGAAACGGGATATGATCAAGCGATATATTACGGCATTAACTATCAGACTACTGTCAAACGCCACTCTGTAGTCTGATAGTTAATGCCGATATATCGCTTTAACATAATTATCCCGTTTCGGTGGTAATGCTAGAGGGGCTGGGTATATTGCGTCGTAAAATCGGGCCCGGCGGGATGCACCCACAGTGAAATACTGCACTGTGGGTACGTCCCGGCAGGGTGTCGCAGGGTGCGTAACAGTCGGACCCGTAAAATCATTAAAGAACACAACATTTTAATAAACACTTTATTTATTTGATCTTACAGATTTACTATTTGGGAAGAAAAAGAGGCTGAGTTTCACAATACGTTGCAATCATTAAAAAAACCAGAAGTGATTGAAGTTGCAAATTTACGCTGTGTGATTAGAGATATAAAGGAATGTGTAACTAAGGCAAGTAAATCAACTATGTCAGTTGTAGAGCTACACATCAGAAGTGTAAATTTATTATAACAACAGTTGAAGTTTTCATTTATGGTGTCTGTTCACTAAACTATACCATAACATTACCGAAAAAAAATACTTTATATGAAAGGACGCCAATAGGACCTTACGTCATCGACAAGAAAATAGGTAGCGGATTGGGTCAGGGTAGGCTATGCTATGGTTCGAGTGTTATTTTTTGTATTGCAAGCGTCGATAGGCTGTGGTGGCCGCTTAGCACCAGGCGGGCTTGTTTTCCACTCTTTCAACATAAAAAAAAACAGAGCACCACCACTAGAGACCGCATAAAAGAGCATTTCTTAATAATAATTCCTATATTTGTTTCTTAGGTTTTCACGCACATCACTCTTTAAATAAAACTAGTTTTTACGGGTTAATGCACGAAACTTTTATTTATTTATTGACGTTTCGTAGCCTTTACAGGCTTCGTCGTCAGAATAAAACTTTTATTTAATTTGTCGAGCTACCTTAAATAGGTATTATATTTTTAATTTGAAGGTAGCTCGACAAATTAAATAAAAGTTTTATTCTGACGACGAAGCCTGTAAAGGCTACGAAACGTCAATAAATAAATAAAAGTTTCGTGCATTAACCCGTAAAAACTAGTTTTAATAATTCCTATTCTCTATGTGGGGCACCTGTCTTATGTACTTTGTATACAGCGTAAGCATTAACTTCATTACTGGACCTTCTGCTCACGACCCATCCACAGGGCTATTAGGTTATGGTAAGAGCCCCCCTGGGCTCTTCAGATCCCTGCCTGATATCTGCCAAAGCGCCACAGGCCAAGCCTCCACGTCCAACGGTGGTAAAACGCCGGATTTGGCATTATGGGTCGGCAGATTGGGACGGTATGCGTGACTACTTTGCGTCCGTCCCTTGGAAGCAGCGCTGCTTCAGTGACAAGGACCTATCAGCCAGCGCCGTTGCTATTACTGAGGAGATTGTAATGGGTATGGAATACTATATTCCTCATTCCAATCTCATCAGTAAGGGCACACGTAACCTCTGGTTCAATCACGACTGTGCTGAAGCTGCTTCGCGTAAGCAAGCAGCATATCGTGCTTGGATCAGAGGCCGCGCTATTAAGGATCCCGGGGTCGATTCACTAAAAGCAGCCTACAATATTGCTTCCAAGGCCTGTAAGAAGGCTTACATCAGAGCGGATGCCCAGCGCGTAGCACGTGTTGGTCACGAACTTATAACGCATCCTACGGGCTCCCGTAGCTATTGGCGTTTGGCCAAGGCCATGCAAAAGAACTTTTGCCAGCCGTCGCTGCCACCTCTGAGATGCCCAGACGGAACACTAGCTCATAAGCCGCAGGAGAAAGCCGATTTACTGGCAAAACTCTTTGCGGCTAACTCCCGAATCGATGATTGCAATGCACCGCCACCATCATTACCTCATTGTGGCACAACGATGCCGGATATCAAAATCAGGCAGCGTGAGGTTCGTGCCGAATTGCAATCACTCGACGTCTGGAAAGCTAGTGGACCCGATGGCATCCCAGCAGTAGTACTGAAAAAATGTGCAGCGGAGTTGTCTCCCGTGCTCACGCGTTTGTACCAGTGCTCGTATTCTTTGGGGCGTGTGCCGGAAACTTGGAGAGATGCTAACGTGCAACCGGTACCCAAAAAAGGCGATCGCTCAGACCCGGCTAACTACCGGCCAATAGCAGTCACCTCAGTATTATGTAAAGTCTTAGAAAAGGTCCTTAACAACCCGCTACCTAGAGGATCACTCCCTGATCAATGATCGTCAATAGACCGAAACGATCGACGGGTGATCTTCTAGCGTACTTGACTCATATCTGGGGTGAGGCTATCGACAAGCGAGGCGAGTCGTTGGCTATTAGCCTTGACATTGCCAAGGCATTCGACAGGGTCTGGCACAAAAGTCTTCTCTCCAAGCTTCCGGCATACGGTCTGCCGGCCCAGTTCTGTTCTTGGGTAGCTGACTTCCTGCATGAGCGTAGAATTCGTGTCCTTACGGATGGTAGCAGTTCGCGGTTCATGTCACAGAATGCCGGCGTTCCCCAGGGCTCCGTCCTATCCCCCACTCTCTTTCTGCTGCATATCAATGACTTAATTCCTAAAGAAAAGTTTACTAGAAAAAAAAAACCACGCGGACCAGGCAGCGGACGGGACTCGAACCCGCATCCTTTGCTATCCGGGCGAATGCACTGACCATTATGCTACCACGGCCCTATGCTATAATGGTCAGTGCATTCGCCCGGATAGCGAAGGATGCGGGTTTGAGTCCCGTCCGCTGCCTGGTCCGCGTGGATTTTTTTCTAGTAAACTTTTCTTTAGATTTAAACATCTAGCAGTTAAATGCTTAAAAATAAATAAAAACATGACTTAATTCCTCTTGGGAATATTCATTGCTATGCAGACGATAGTACAGTGCATGCGGGGTATCTCGGACAAGCAGCGGCTGGGCAGGCGGTAACCAAGGAGAAACGGGAGAATCTTGTCATTGAGCTCAATCAAGCTTTGGACCACATTTCTGTATGGGGTACCAAGAACTTGGTTGAGTTCAATGCTAAGAAAACCCAGGTCTGTGCTTTCACGGCAAAAACGTCGCCATTCCTTTTATGTCCTTCTCTTCAGGGCACAACACTGGAGCTAGAGAGCAGTATCACCATGCTCGGTATGGAGATTCGCTGTGACTTAAATCCAAAGAATTACATCGAAAGTGTGATAAAAACAGCCTCACGCAAACTCGGAGTCCTGATCAAGGTGCGGCGTTTTTTCACGCCCGAGCAACTGTGCTTATTGTATGACCGCACCTGCGTCTTAACGCAGGTGCGGTCTTGCGTGGAATATTGCTCGCACCTCTGGGATGGCTCCGCTAAGTACTTGCTCGATGCTTTGGATAGGTTACAGCGGCGCGCAGTCCGCATCATAGGCGATGAGGAGGTGACTAAACACCTCGAGCCTCTTCAATTACGCCGTGACGTGACGTCACTAAGCGCGTTCTATCGTCTGTACCACGGCGAGTGTTCTGAGGAGTTATTCTCTCTTATTCCACCTTCCCCTTTCCTTCAGAGGACCACGCGCGCTGGCTTACGTTGTCACCGTCTAACTGTGGCTACAATTCCAACGCGTACAAAGAAATTTGGTGACTCATTTCTTTGTCGCACTATCCGTAAATGGAATGCTCTGCCCGCTCACGTGTTCCCTCCCTCTTACAACCTGGGATCCTTTAAAAGAGGCGTGAAGAAGCAACTTGCAGGCCGGCAGGGTGAGGATGGCTGGTGTGGCAGTTAGAACTGCTGTATCAGCTATCTTCGCGTCTGGACTTCACCTTCACTTAACATCAGGTGGGGTGGAGTCATTTGTCGGATCTATCTATAAAAAAAAAAAAGCGTGTGATTCGCCCCCAAACGTCGCTATGCAAGTATACACCTAATTTTACATACGATTGCGGAGTAATACTGACGTGTCCAATCAAAACGCGGCCAATTTCAACAGCATCAACTTTAGTTAAAAACTAGTTTTATTTAATGAGTGATGTGCGTGACAACCTAAGAAACAAACTTCAGTTAAGTTTACAAGGTATTGACTTTTCTGAGTGCGGCCATAAGACAAAAAGAGCTCACGTCTCTTGCCTCGCAATTCAACTATATGTACCCTTAGCACGAACCAATATAGAATTCGAATAGTTTGCGAATGCGAAATCTCGTTGTAAAATTTTGTATGGAAACTTGAACAGCAGCGCCACAACGGACGTAACGAGAACTAGAAATCAGTACACATTTGACCTATACAATATGGTTCGTGCTAGGGGTACCTACAGTTCCCTGTTTCGTATTTTATTATTTACAATGTTATAATTAGCTTGACCTATCTTGTCGGTTTCCAATTGAATGACATTGCGAAACAGTTCTTACTTTCTGAGAGTTATCTCGTATTAATTAGTTTATTTTTAGCACCTATGGATAGTAGCAGTAGAGGAGGCACATTTGCTACATGAGCTCCAACTTATGAAAGATTTCTACCTCTTGGGCCGTGGGGAACTTTTCCTAGAACTTCTGCGTTTGACATCCCATATACTGGACAAACCAACCACTAGAACTGCTACTAGAGGTATGTATAACTATGTAAGATTTTTTAAACAAATTGACAATATTTTTAATTCTAATAATAGTTTTGTTGCTAATATTTATGATAAATAAAGATTATATGTTATTGTAGTGTAGGTAGGTGACCGCGACTTAGCCTTTGTGGAAAAATTGTTTCCCATTTTTTTCGAGACTTTCACCCCCTGATAATTTCTGAGAAAAATCTATTCTTTGCCCTTTCCAGGACTCAAAACTATCTATATACCAAATTTCTTCAAAATCGGTTCAGGGGTGTAAGCGTGAAGAATTAAAATTCAGACAGACACACTTTCGCATTTATAATATTGGTATGGAGGAGCCAAATAAATCAAAATTATAATAATTTTCAGATATGAATCATGCATTTCAGCTGGCCGCCCGAGCAGTATTTTTAAGCAACAGTGCTGATATTGAGAAGTTTAGTTTTGAGTTGCCCTATGTAAAACCAAATATCTCTGGAAACTCCACGATTGAGGACGATAGTAGTACAGGTATGTATGAAAAAAAAACAGTTCAATGTAAACTAGAGTTAATGTGGAACAAATTAAGTCTAGTTTACATTGAACTGTTTTTTTTACAGCAGTTATAAATGTGTAAATAAAAAGCGAGTGTGCTTATGACCACACGACTGAAGTGAAACTTCTTTAGTTTCAATGATCTGAAAATCGTAAACATGACCTGAAGATTTATTGATAGAAAAAACCACCAATGCGCGTTTGGCCCGTTATCACCCTCATATCCTCACTGGGTCCATTATCGCCCACCATCCGCGCCGGGTCCGTTATTACCCACCAATCCGCGCTGGGTCCGTTATCACCCACCAATCCGCGCTTGGTCCGTTATCACCCTCGTAACACATTCGCCAGTTTACCCCCCAAGTCAAGCGTGCCTATAGAAGTTTCACTTCAATAATCCAAATACAATTGTACTTAATGATAATAAACGGCAAAGTGGTCCATATTTGTTGCCCTTGCCCATCGCATTAAGTCGTAAACTCAGCATTTTAGTGCGTCTTTTTTTTTATACGTGGCGCAGCAAACTACTCCACCCCACCTGATATTAAATGTAAGTGGAGTCCAGTCGCGAAGACAGATGATGCGGCAGAAATGCGCCGCTCCAGCCATCCTCACCTTGCCGGCCTGACATTGAATACAGCAGTTGTCTTTGTATTTGTTCCAAGGCACTAACTTCATATTTAAAGTCTCACATATAAAATTGCAGTAGGTAAGCCGTTAACTGTTTAAATGAGAAAAAATGTAAAAGTCGTATCTAACGTGACTATATACACGTCTAGATACTGTGTTAATTGCGCGGAAGCGCCTTCAAAAACTATCTACTACATATGTAGATACGATACACTGACTGCGCTTTCAAACAAACTGACATTAAAATCACGCACACATTGCGTGTAATATGAGCCGTTTTCTGTGCGTAGTTATTGGGATTGCTCTATCTAGCTGTGTAAGTCAAAGACTCATGCTTAAGTTAAATTATCACTGCCAGTTTCAATAATCAACCTCCGGTACAAGATAAGGATAATCTGATCTGATAATGACCTACCCCACGGAGCCCTGGAACCCTTCTCACAAGCAGAAACATAACACCACCAAAAGGTAGTGAGACGGGCGCTCCAATTCGAGCGGATAATCAGCTGTGCCATACCTCTCTTAAACAAGCCGAAACAGCGTCTGATCGGTCGCGCTTATGGGCGCAGTCTATACTCCAATGCGTCGTTCAAGCGTTTACAGGAATTAGTAGTTTTAATTGGAGTTTGTCCGGATTTTTTACTGCTCCGACCACCATAACTCGCAAATATTGTAAAGCTTATATAGCTTTGATAGTTTCGTATTTATTCCATCATATAATGACAAAGGGAACTTGTAAGCAGGTACAGATGTTTGCTCTGAGAAATCAAGTGAAAAATACTAGATGAGGGGAGCATCACGGGATAAAAAGTAAGCTGCTTGTAAATATAATTATATAACTGACTTGCACTAATAATTTAACTTAAGCATGAGTCTTTGACTTACACAGCTAGATAGAGCAATCCCAATAACTACGCACAGAAAACGGCTCATATTACATGCAATGTGTGCGTGATTTTAATGTCAGTTTGTTTGAAAGCGCAGTCAGTGTATCGTATCTACATATGTAGTAGATAGTTTTTGAAGGCGCTTCCGCGCAATTAACACAGTATCTAGACGTGTATATAGTCACGTTAGATACGACTTTTACATTTTTTCTCATTTAAACAGTTAACGGCTTACCTACTGCAATTTTGTATGTGAAGAAATTTGTCAGTACAAACACCATAACTTGTCTCAGGCACCAGACAAGTCGAATAGATATATAAAAAGAAGTAATAAATAAATAAATTATTCGTTTTTGCTTTAACTTATCTACGCCACAAAAATTGAATCGAACTAATGTCAGCGCCTCTGGTGCTGTGAGGCTAGAACTATTAATGAGTGACTTCAGTGCTACATTGAAAACATCAGTTTCTCTTTGTATTTGTTCCGTGGCACTAACTTCATATTCAAAGTCTCCCTGCCAATTTCAATAATCAACCTCCGGTACAAGATAAGGTTATTCTGATCTGATTTGCAACAGTTGTTTTTATAATCTAAATAGTATTAAAATATATAATGACGAATTGGGAACCTCCTCCTCTTTTGAAGTCTAAGTTAAGATACTGAAACAAAGCTCTAATAGGCCTATATCTTACTGGAGTTTGATTATTGAAACTGGCTATAAGTAGATAGCGGATTAGAAAGGATTTTCAATATTATTTTCTTGCACTAAAATCTTTTTTGTTTAGTGGCGGACGGTTGGTCGAGTATAGTCCTGAAATACGACTTCAAATGGCCCCTTCACCTTGTATTCACACCAGAAGTACTCGCGCGATACAACGATATGTTCCGTCTTCTCTTGCGCATAAAGAAAACACAGCATGATCTTCACGCCTTATGGAAGACGTATAAGCAATCTACCAGGTTGGTTTCCTTCAATATCTATTCTAATCCTTTTGCAGCTCGATGGCGCAATGGTTTAATGTTCCTGACTACTCTCCTTTTGCCTTTACTCAATTCACTGAATGTGACGTTGAGAGAGGCATGCTTTCTATCTCCTCCAATGCGGTGGGGAACGATGGCATTAGTCGTAACATGTTAATACCATTCCTAGATATCATTCTTCCTGTCCTTACTTTCCTATTTAACAGTTCGATTTTCAATGCTGTCTTTCCGGCAGTTTGGAAGGAAGCCCAAATTAGGGGCCATCCATAAATTACGTCACACGTTAAGGGGGAGGGAGGGGGTCGATGAAGTGTGACATCGTGTGACAAGGGGCTGGGAGGGGTCCTACATTTCGTGACGTCACATTTAAAAATCTATTATAATCGAAATGTTGAAACTATAACTTTACGAAAACATAAACAACCCAAACGAGAACAAAGTGGTGCTATGCCTGTTATAAATAATTTAAAGAAGCGGGCTTAATGTCTATGGACTCAAGATTATTAAGTTTGCATTTTTAATGTAATCATAATGTTATTCATATTTGTTTTGTTAAATTGTTGGATTTGATGTTAATATTATTAAAAAAATGGGTGCGTGTACTTATGTAGGCGCGTGAGAAGTTATCCTTCTTTGGCATCGTTTAAAATTAGTTTTTAATTGCATGCAAATAATTAATTACAATAAATTAATAAAAAGTCTGGAAAAGGACACAGTCAACAAAGTTCAGTTTTAATTTGAAAAAATAAATAAATAATCAAAATATTCAATTAAAATCGCTACTGAATATAATTTATTAGAATTTAGAACATATGTGATTTGCACTTGTATGAAACTCAAACACGTATTCCGAATATACAAACTAGAAACATGTGGATAAATATTATAAATATGAATACCTATAACTGTTACTATATTACAAAAAATAAAGATGTGGTTTTTGGTTCTACTACAACAATGGTCAAGAGATGGCGCTGTAGTCTCCTGAATCGCGCTTTGGTTCCGTTGTTCCAGATTAATAAATACTTTTGATTTTATAAATATGAATAACTGTTACTTTATTACAAAAAATAAAAATGTGGTTTTTGGTTCTACTACACCAATGGTCAAGAGATGGCGCTGTAGTCTCCTGAATCGCGCTTTGGTTCCGTTGTTCCAGATTAATAAATACTTTTGATAGGCCTTCACAATGCAGTCGTTAGCACCCACTAAATAGAGATTCTATTTCTATTTTGTTGGTAGATTTTCTTAATGTGCGGTAAACACAAAAGTAACGCATGAAGTTGGTCAACTTCATGCTGTTAAAATTTTGTGTTACAGTGATGCGCGCGCATCTTAAAATTTCACTCTCATCATTTTTTCATAACGCGCCTAAAGAAGTATAACTTCAAAAACAAATTTGAATGAAAATGAAACTAATTTCAGATCCGCTGTTTACATTCAATAATTTCTAAATTTTGTAAAATATGTGACGTCACACTAGGGAGGGGGGGAGTCTCATAAATGTGACCAGCTGTGACAAGGACGGGGGGAGGGGTAAAAAATCATGAAATTCGTGTGACGTAGTTTATGGATGACCCCTTATCCCATTTCCTAAAAATCAAACCCTACATCTACCGCCGATTTTCGCCCCATCTCTATCCTACCCTTCCTATCCAAGGTCCTTGAATGCCTCGTCCACAATCAATTTAATATGTTCCTATCTCGCCACAATCTCTTTAATCCTTTTAATCTGGTTTCCGTCCCGGCCATAGTACAACGACTACTTTGCTCAAAGTAACAGATGATATACGCCTTGGGATGGATAATGGTCTCCTTATGGAGGCCATACACATTAGGTTTTGCATGATGGTTTTAGCCGTGCATGCATAACCGAGTTTCATATTGCACATACACGTTAGGGTTTGCATGTACAGTTTTGCCATTACTCTCAGTTGAGCTACGTGACGGTGTGTGTAGAACGCCTATTAAGTACTGTGAATGGAATATTTTTTTTAATCACATCTTCTTTCGTAGCTGTGGGCACTAATTCCTTGACCTTAGTTATCAATCTCTGGTATTCTTTGCACTTTACGCCAAAGACAAGGTTCCGACTTATAACTTTCTATAAATTCTTCTAATGTTGCATTGCGCTTGCGACTAGCCATTTTCGAAACAACGCGATGGTGCTCGGACCTTCCGCCGTCGCAACAATTAAAAACTGAGAACTGTGACAGGCAAGCTTGCCGGACGCCACACACGCTTGGTTATGCTCGCGCGCATGCATAAGCGAGCGGCATAAAATATCAATTTTGATATTTGTTCGGTTGCATGTACATGCATAACCATCATGCAAAACCTAGTGTGTATGGCCTCCATTACGGTATTAACACTGTTGGACTTCAGCAATGCTTTTAATACTGTCAATTTTGACGTTCTTTTGGCAATGCTGACTCTCTTAATGTATCTCCATCAGTGATCGAGTGGTTTTTACAGTTATCTGTATGGGCGCAGGCAGCACGTTTGCCTCGAGGAGAAATTTTCGCTTCATGGAGCGACGCGACTGCTGGTGTTCCTCAAGGCGGCGTCTTATCTCCTCTTCTTTTCGCTGTCTTAATCAACTCTGTTTCAAATAATAGTTCTTCATCCTACCACCTATATGCAGATGACCTCCAAATCTATCGCCAAGCATCACTTGGTCAACTTGGAGATGCGGTGCGAGCTACTAATACCGATATACTTACGATATGAGAGTGGAGCAAATCCTTTGGATTAGAATTGAATCTCTCCAAGACTACAAGCATAATAGTAGATAGTTCTAGGATGATATATAGAGTAGACTGACAGTCAATACCCAGTATCCAATTGGCTGGTAATAATGTTCGTTTTAGCGCGTCGGTAAAAAACGTGGGGTTAACATTCGACAATTATTTGAGCTGGGGTCCACAGATGCAAGTGGTCAGCCGCAAATTTTTTGCTTCAGCTGCGTCACTTAGGAGACTACGTAATTTCCTACCCGTCACTACCAAAATTACTTTAGCACAGTCTTTGTTGCTACCCATTCTTGATTATGCAGGTACGGACCGCGAGGAAAAGAGACGGCTATATAACCGATCGTGCATTTGAATATCACAAATATTTTCTATTAAATCTGTTTTTAGTAAGTATGAGAACAAAATTTGCCTCAAATGCGTTAAATTAACAAACATTGATTAGACACCTGTCGAAAAAAAATGGCACTTTATATGCTACAAGTATTTTTTTCGCATTATTTCACGCAGCTCTGCGGCATGTTGACTTTCCAAACAGTTTGCGCGTGACTGTGAACCAAGAAGTGCTTGAGTGGAGTTCAAGCAATTCTTGATTAGGACACATTTTGAGCGCACGTGGTTTATACAGGGTATTTAACATCGTTGTATACAAGATATAATTTAGCAATGAAAAGGATTCCAAAAATATTTTTATATTTTTACTACAGTTTCAGAGAAAGCTGATAAAATTTGCTATAAAAAGTATTTTACTTTAAATTTCTACCTTCTATTGGTTTATTAAATTTTAAAAATGTGATACTTAGTTTTGCAGGCCAATGTAGTACGGCTTTTTTCGCTTACAGTTTCTCCATGTGTCAATTGCACAACAAATTGATGTTTCTCATGGACAATCTGCAGCATTATCTCCAAGCCGATGTACTAGAGACTAACTTCTCCCGTCTTATGGACGCCATGGCGAAGACCAACGACTTCGAACGACTGAAGAAAGCGCACGCTACATTCCTGGCGGATGTTCTCAGCCAGTCCTTCTTGACTGTCACCTCTGTGGCCGTAAGTTACTTTCATATTTTTTTTATGTAATATAATAATAATATTGTGGCCAACAAGCACATGGCCCGCCTGATGGTAAGCGGCCACTTTAGCCTATAGACGATTGTGAACAACGATATTAAATACCCTAGATACACCACGAGCGCTCAAAGTGTGTCTCAATCAAGAAGTGCTTGAACTCGCCTGAATCACATCTTCTAATCAATGTTTGTTATATGTCGAGGATGGTTAACTTACTTAAATTTTCAATATAACATCAAACATTAAAAAAGTAATAAAGGTACTTATGTTTATTTTTAGCAGGCACATGAAAGCGAACACAGTGACACGACCGACTCTTTAAACAACCCAGTGTTCTGCAACATAATGGAACTGTTGAAGCTGTGCGACTCCTTCTGCAGCATGGGAGAAGTGGCTTCAGATCGGGAAACTGAAGACTACTATATCAGGGGATACTCTGACAGGTACTTACATGACACTTGGTGCTAATAGATTACTTTTGAAGAAATTTCATTTGCATTTTAAAGAATATAAAAATCACGCTCTGTAGGGAATAAAAAGGAGAGACTGCCTGGACATTGGCAGAAATCGGAATAAAATTGAATTGAAGAAGAGACTCAATGTGAAATGCTGGCAGGAAAGAAATTGCAGAAATAATGTAATATTCAAATAGCCATAAGACAATTTATCAAACACATTGCTCTAGTATACTAAGATTTTTAATGTATGAGTAATAAAAAATAACGGACATGTGCTGCTCACATGCGATAGAAGAGAAACATACAAAAATGTGAACATTTAAAAGTCCTTTTACTAATAGGTACTTCTTAAAGACAACACCTGTGTTAAAATTCAACTCTCTATGTCAAAATTAAAGCAAATTTAAATATGCTATAGCTACATTGTTTGGAAAATAAAAAATAGCTTAATAAAAGAAAAAAAAACCAATTAAAAAAATAACCGAGCTCAGGATTGAACCACCGATCATTTGGAGTACCATTACCTATCTATCTGTTAAGTGGCAGAGATCAGTAAATGATACAATTACGAATACCTATCTTGTATCAAATACAGACAGTCCTCGACTTACGTCGTTTCAAGTTACGTCAAACAATGTTTTGACACTATTCCTCATGCATACGTCAATTGTTTCGATTTCCGGCATAGAAGAATTCACTCTCAATGTCCGTGGGGCTGGCGTCCGTGGGGATGTCTCGACTACCGTCGTTTCGATTTACTTCGCATATTTCGAGAACTTAATATGCCGTAAGTACGAGGACTGCCTGTATTCTACTTCTGTTTCATCGAATCTTAAGTCATAACGATACTAAAGAAGTTTTCACTTCATAAAACAATTCTACTTCTGGATTAATTGTGTCTTTCTGTTTCAGGTTCAACAAATTAGTTAAACAATTAATGCAGCTGCTAGTGTCATTACGCGATCAACCTTGCGGAGTATTTCTGGCGAGGCTGCTAATGAGATTGGACTATAATCGATGGCTTAGTGGAGAAGCGCAGTTAACACAATCGGTCACTAATATGTTGAGATATTAACCAGGATGAGATCAAAGGCTAACTAACTGCAAGGATTTTTTTATTTAACTTGAGTGTAAGTATAATTCTTATGAGGAATTTTTTGGTTCCATACCTGGAAAGGAAAAACGGAACCCTTATATGATCACTGTATTGCCCATCTGTCTGTCAAGACACTACACCTCGAGAACGCGTGACGGTATCGCTTGTTTATGTTGCGTACCTACAAAATAATGCAAATTTGTATGGAACCCTTTGTGGGCGGATCCGATTCGCAATTGTCTGGTTTTTTATTCATTTGATTAGGAATATGGCATAACCAAACCCAAATAAAGCTGTTTCTAATGCCGGCACTGGACAACTGTCAGAAAGATTTAAAACGAATTGCCATGTGAAGTGCCAGCATTATCAAAATAAGATGCCTGATACTAACTCTGTGGACTATAAAGAATAATAAAATAACTAAAAGTTTTATTCAATCATCATCAATAGGATCTTCTTGTAAACAATTTGTGTCCATTTGTTCTGTTACTGGGACCTTTTCAGGATGCTGATCCATATATGCTTTTACAAGTATGCATTTTGTTAGGTGGCAAGTACATGGGAGGGGATGTTCAGCTTCATCCGGGTCTAAAAGCGAGACTTGTATATTGTACCTGGAAAATTAATAAATAAATATTTTCTACACGCACCAATATGCCTCAAAGTAAGCACTATAAAGCCTTGTGTTATGGGATCCTAGGGTAACGGATAGAATACAATATGTAAATGTATTCTATCCATTACCCTATCAAGCCTTGTAATGTCCTCACTGCTGGGGCACAGGCCTTCCCTATGGATGGAATACTGATACATAAGATTTTATCAATATATATATATATATAAACGTCCATGACTAAGGTACAAATGTTCATACTAAAATTATCATCCACCGGGATTCGAACCTAGGACCTCTGAGTAGCCGATGCCATGTAACCACAAGTATTATACTACTTGCATATTATAGTTACTCAACTTATTTATAGTAAAAATACAGACAGTCCTCGTACTTACGGCATGTTAGGTTGTCGAAATACGCACCGTAAATCGAAACGACGTAAGTCGAGACATTTTTTCATTTATTTACATGTAAAGCTCATGGGTTGACCTCGCGTCAAGTAAATTCTCCTATACCGGAAAACGAAACAATTGACGTACGTGATTGAGGAATAGTGTCATAACATTGTTCGACGTAACTTGAAACGACGTAAGTCGAGGACTGCTTGAATACTAGAGAAAGAGTCTTAATGAGAAACATCAAGGATGTTTATTTGACATCACTCTCATGGATGATTGTAACACCTGCAGCATCACTTTACTTTTGCCAAGTAAATGATACCCCATTATTAATAAACGCGGAATAAGCTTTGACTAGTTACACCATGTTTTGTTCCTATCACTCAAATGACGTTTGTCATTCAATGAACAGAGACAAAACATGGAGTAACAAATCCAAGCTTATTCTTCGCTTATTAATAGGGGGGATAATGTCTAATATTTTATAATTTACCTTCTCCTGTTGCTGGCATCTCTAGTCATATCCATCTGGAAGGCAATTGGATCACCAACTTCCACTACCTGCTCTTGTGGCAGCACAATGACTGTTTGTTTCCAATGCGTTGGAGAGCTAAAAGGACCTGTGTCTAATCTGACATTATCATTACTGCCAGTCAAATCAGGGAAAACAACGTCAAACCAAAGACACAGTCCTTGGTATATGCCGTCCTTTTTAGCACCTACAATAATAAATTATTTCAGGCCAACAGCAAATATTTAATATGCAAATAAATAAATTTAATAACTATCATTTCTTATTTGATATATGTACAATACAATGCTGAACAATTTCTTAGCTATGTGCAAACCATGAAACTTATTCATTCATAAATGTAAAACAAGAGAATGGAAGAAAAGTAAATAAACTAACCAACAACATGTTCTATACTGAATGAGTCAACCTCAGACACTATATCTTCTTTCAGGTTGATCCAGCATAAGACAACTTCATCAGAGCCAATTATATCTTCTGCCTCAACCACCATAATCTCTGGTTTGTTGCATTTTGATGCACGTAGTTGATTAGCCACTGAGGTCATAGATAAACCATGGAAGTTATCCCATTTCTTGTATAAAGTTGGAACACTTGAAAAGAAAGAGTTTATAGAAGAAATATATTATACAAAAGTCTATGAGACTTATTTTGGCAATCTTACCTACAAGGGGAAATATAAATAGTAGCACTCTCAGGGAACATTTCGCCGTTCACTTTTAGAAACTTATCACGTGCTATTAATACAGAGTCCAACATCCCTTCATGCAGCAAATAAAATCCCATCCACTCTGAGATTATTGCGTCTACTTTTATATTGTCTGGTAACACTACATCTTCAACATAGCTATGAATTACCTGTATTTAAATAAAAAAAGTTAAAAACTACTTGATGACTAAAATTTACATTCCAAATTACCATAACCTACTTAACAACTTAAATAATATATAATTTACCAAATAAAAAATAGTCAACCCCAGCGCCGCAAACAGGAATGGTAACCAATAGGCTGGCAGTATTGCCACATTGGATGGAAAGGCTGATCCGTTGACCAAGATAGCTGCCAGCCTTTTGATCACCAGTCGCCTCTTTGGCAGTTCCTTAAATAGGGAATGAGCACTTGTACCCTACGGGCCGATAGTCTCAACACCAAACGGCACAAATATGTAGTTCTCATTGAGAGCTGAATATTTGCGACCCTGTTTCCAAGGAATGAGCGTCATACCATCAGGTCTCCTGCTATCGTCGCGCAGTGGTACATTGATAGCGACAAGAGCTCTGCGGATGACGTCATTGATGCAGGCGTGGCGGGAGACTCGGTCGCTCATTTGGCATGAGAGGCCATGGTGTCCCAACTCACCGACGCGGGTACCGCAACGACAGCGATGGGGATGATTTTTCTTGCATCCAAGTCTAAGCAGAGACAGAGTGCTCTTATCAAGCAGAGTTCCGACATTTGCTGAAGGTAGAGCTTGCAGCCAGTAACCAGACTCCCTGAAAGACCGCAAGAAGGCGAGCACGCTCAGTGGCGCTTTCAGATCATGTTAAAAGATCACTCTGAAGAAGTAAACAGAGCGGCTCGTCCCATTGCCCGTTAAATTATGTGTAAATATTTTCATGATAATGTTAATAAAACTGTAGTTGTCTGCAGTGTTTAAGTTTTTTATTATTACTTGTCTCTTTATTTTATCATTATTATATAAGTGAACCAAACTCAAACAATTTATTTGCATTTTATTACCAGCATTGCATAGATGACCCAATTTCAACAGGATATTAAAAATGTTAACTCAGAATAATGTCCTGATTTACAGAAATAACTCAATGGAAAACGGATGTAATGTGTTAAAAACATTACATGAATCTCCTTTGTTTAGAGAGCGCGTTAGAAGACTTTGTTTAGCTTTAGGCTGTCTGTCTCACCTAATTTTTTATCTTACATCAATTTCGTTAGTCTATGCGCTTTTTGTTATTTGTGACTCAATGCTTATCAAGCAGTAAGTCGTATGGGCGTTGTTTTCTTTGCCCGCCCGGAAAGAGACAACAAATTAAAAAATCTAATGTCACTTCACTTCGCAAATTAGTGGTGAGAGAGTTTTTTTGGCGGGATTTCATCGAGTGCGGTTGGCGTCTTATTTTAATTATTCTTAAATTCGTTCATAGTGGATATTGTGAAATAAAATTGGTGTGGTTTTGTGTAACAACTGTCTGCGTAACTGAAGACTTAGTGGAATCATTAAAATATACGCTATTCCGGTCAAGTGGACGTGAGAATTTTATTGTAGTGTTGACTACCTCACAGAAGCTTATTGAAAAAGCCAACTCGATACATTTCGTGCCAAACACTCCAAGAAACATTAGAATGCGTCACACCAACATTCTAATGTATAAACAAAAAGAAGATAAATTTAATTAAAGACCAGGCTGTATGGGCATTGTTCCCTTTGCCTTCCCTAGAACGGGAGAACTTCAACAAAAAAAAAAATTAGTGGTGAGAGGATGATTCACCGCTGAACTAATTGAATTACCTAGTAAATTCATATTATTATTAATTCTTTTCAATGAAATGAAACCTTACTTTGCCAAGCGAATGGTGGGCCTTAACCCAGGCTTAATTTATTTATAAAATGCCATAGGAGTTTTTTTATCTTGAAATGTTATTAACAAACACATGGGACATTAACTTAACCTCAGATGTAATCCCAAGTGGAAAACGGCCATCCTTACATAACTTCAACAACCAGACCACCTAGATGCAGCAAAGTAAGCTTCCAAATTAATATACCAGGAACCCTCTTCAAGGTAAAACTTTTTATATTCATGTTAGTGTTATAAACTTCTAAATTTAGTATACCTATGATTTTATTTTATTTTTAAGCATTTAACTGCTAGATGTTTAAATCTAAAGAAAAGTTTACTAGAAAAAAAGTTTACTAGAAAAAAATCCACGCGGACCAGGCCGTCCGCTGCCTGGTCCGCGTGGATTTTTTTTCTAGTAAACTTTTCTTTAGATTTAGTATACCTTTTGGACTTAACTGGAAAATTTGTGATATACTGACAACCCAAAATGAGTTTGAAATTTGCCTAGCCCCTTGTGATTAATAGTTCAATGCTTTACCGGCGAAGTATTTGTGGTAGCCTGGCGCCCGAATCTTCAAATAGATTAATTTCAGCCTATAGTCCAGGCAACGAATGCTCAAAAACAGGTATAGAGGGAAATGCTTGGAACACAATTTTTGACTTCTAACTTTGTTAGGACTAGTTAGAAGGTAAACATATCAAAAGTCCCTGCCCGTAGCCCTTCAGCCGGTGGGGATTGAAGGTCCCATTTTTAGGTTTTTTGCATATATCTCGGAAACTATGCATCCTAGCGACATGAGACTGACAAAAGTGAAAGCTGATTAAATTTGCTACAAGTCTTATTCAGTCAAGTTTTTTGATATCTTGTATAGATTTCGAGATATAGGGGAGCAGTAAAACAGCATTCCCAGGAAGTGGTGGCAATTTTTTTTTTCCATAATTACAGACTTAAGAGCGGATATCTCGAAAACTATACAAGATATCAAAAAACTTGACTGATTAAGACTTGTAGCAAATTTAGTCAGCTTTCACTTTTGTCAAGGTCTCATGTCGCTAGGATGCATAGTTTCATAGATATATGCGAAAAACCTAAAAATGGGACCCCCCCTTCCCCCCAGCTTAAGGACTACGGACAGGGACTTTTGATGTTTACCTCCTAACTAGTCCTAACAAAGTTACAAAGTTGAAATTGTGTTCTAAGCATTTCCCTCTATACCTTTTCGTTGCCTGGACTACTATCCGTTTATTAAATTTATCACAACTTGTTTAAATTTTTTAATATGACATTTGTCGGCAGTTTTTTATTATTACATGGATGAAGTGATAGCAAAATAATAAAAAACTAATATGTCATTCCTCAAAAGGTAGTTGTGCTTTGAGCCCATAAGTTAACTATTTACTCTTACAACATATAAATCACTCTTTTCTTACATAAAATGCTACAAACTGCTGGAGTACATACCTCAATGACATCTTCGAATTTGTTTTCTTTGACAATTTCTCTGGCTAAATTTGCCACATTACTTGCTTCTACTGCATATATCTTTTTCGCGCCAGCTTGAGCGCAGAATATTGAAAGAATACCAGTACCACAACCAACATCCATAACGATTTTGCCTTTGAAATAAGATTTGTTGTTCATTATAGCATTTTTGTAAGCCAAGGTTCTTGGATTATCCTCTAGCATTAATCTATGAACCTATGGAAAAATATCAATGATTTTCAGTATATACCTAGGTTTATTCTTAATGAAAATAAAACATTACATCGCCACTTAAGCGTAGCAATACAGCACATCTGATGCTCATGGTGCAATATTCATACATTAAAATAATAACCTCTAAATCTTCATAACTACTGAAGTATTCGTTCTGAATAGAATTAGGCTCCATTATTCACATCTGATTTATTTTTCTGTTTCTTTCCGTTATTTTAACCGTCGAAAGAAGGATTTTTTGCAACTTTTCGCTTTGTCGATTTGATCACGATGTTTTTATTTTGCCAAATGAATGAATGAAACTGAACAATGAATGATTTTTTTTTTTTTTTTTTTTCGTTTGTCCTTTCGGACAGGCTAAGGTCTGGGACCATACTGCCTCGTCATTAGTTATTTTTCTTCTTTTTATTATTAAAATTCAATATAACTTCCTCAGTTTGATAATTTCCGGTATATTTTCTAGTTTTTTGTTTTACTCTATTATTATGTGCTTTTTTCCGAGCACATTGAACATCTTAAACACCAAACATTTAATTTTTTCTCTTACTAGACAGTCCAATCATGAATTAATTACATCCTATATGAATTTCATATTTATTTAATATCTTTTTTATAGTACACATTTACACAAAAAATAAATCATAGACCAATACCATGCAATACCTTAATCCTAATACAAAACTTAAGAAAAGAAAAAACAAACATAAAACAACGACATTTGATACGTTTCAAACTTGTTTCAAACCGACGACCTAAACGAAAAAGAATACCTACAAGCAAAATTACGAAAATAAACATTTTTTTCAAACAAATAAAAGGAAAGAGAACATGCGGTACCTATTAAACTTAACTGAGCGTTTTGTGTATGCAGAACATTTAACCTTAAAATCTAATACACAACGATATTACAGAATATTTATATTTCTTCAACAGTGTTTGCAATGTAATTATACAGAGGAACGTATGTACAATTATTTACAAGAAGATCGGTCAAGGAACGCGGGACCAAATCATGTTTGCCATAAATTTGGATTAGCTCATCCAACAACACAAGGCGCTGAATGCCGAAGGATGGGCAGTCAAAGAAAATGTGAGCTAGGGTTTCTTCTTGGGAATTGCAATGAGTACATTGAGCATTATTCACCATTTGCAACCGAAAGAGATGGAAATTAAGCCGACAATGACCAAACCTTAAGCGAAAAATCGTCGTATAGAATTTTCTATTCAAAAAGCTATTTGATTTGCAGAACCATGGCAATTTGTTTACATCAACATAAAGAGGTGTGTACCATAGACCTTTACCTTTAACCTGTACTATACAATTCCAATGGGCTCGCCACTCTTGGTGCATTCTTTCCTTTAGCAGAACAATCAAATCTGTATAAGGTATAGACATCTTCTGAGTATTGGTTTCAGTAGCTAGAGTATTGATAGATTTTGCTAGATAATCTGCATTTTCATTACCTGTTACACCAATGTGAGACGGAACCCACATGAAACTTACAATTATATTATCAACATTGTATAGATCATACCAGACTTCTTTAATAGCATGAATAATGTAATTGGTGTTTGCACTTAATTTATTGTTTTCTAAGTTTTTGAGCACACTCATGCTATCACTAAGTATTAGCCATTTTTTATGTCCTTGATTTTGATGTTTTATGTGTTTCAGAGCAGCCAAAATTGCTAGAGCTTCTGCAGTGAATACAGAGGAATTTTTGTCTATCTTGTAACCTAAACCAGATTTTATGGAGCTAACGTAAAAAGAAAAAGATGCACTTGAATCATTTTTTGAGCCATCTGTATAAATATGTTTATGATCAACCCAATTTGATAGTTCACCAAACACCTCCTCTTTAGTAGAAAGCTCCTTGTAGATATTTATGTCAATTGATGGAAATTTGCTCTCAAAATGCCCTTCATAGCATGGTAAGATTGAAGGCTTATAAATGTTGGAATTTTCGAGAAACTGAGTGAACTGAGGAAATCCTTGCATGATATACAAAGGCCTACCTGCCAGTGATTGTGATAAATATGAAATATTTTTTAAAAGTTGATTATTGTTTATTGAGAATAGCTTCAAAAGGAATCTTTCCTTTAAGTAACTAAATCTTATTGAAATGGGAGAAAGATTACACTCAATTTGCATAACATTAATGGGAGTGCTTTTGAAAGCACCAGTTATCAAACGCATACTTTTATTTTGAATTTTGTCTAGGATATCTACAATTTTGTTGTCATGAGCAAAACAAAAAAAAGCATACTCAAAATGGCTGCGAATCAAAGACTTATACAGTAACAACAAGATCTTAGGATCAGCTCCCCAATATGTAGAAACTAAAGATTTTAATATGTTTAAAGCTTTGTTAGCCCTAGTTGTTATGTGTTCAATATATTTTTTCCAAGATAAGTTGTGAGTTATTAAAACACCCAAAAACTTTGTGTCTAATGAAACTGGAATAGCAACATTGTTATAGTAAACAGTAGGCATCAAAGATCTATTTTTCCCAAATACAAGCAGTTTTGATTTTAATGGGTTAATATCAAGATTTAAGTATGTAAAATATTGATTAAGATTAAATAAGGCACTATTAATTTTATTTACTAAATTTGTAATTTTATGATCGGAAGCATATACTACCAAGTCATCAGCAAACTGTAAATTTTTGACATGTCCACCCAGAATTAAGTTGAGACGTCGGATATATAATATAAAAACAAGAGGAGATAAAATTCCTCCCTGACAGACACCAACAGAAGCCAACCGTGGGCCATATAGGTAACCATTATTCTTAACAAAAACTTTTCTTTCAGACAAGAACTTTTGGACCCAATGAACAAGTTTTGGTGGTATACCCACTGAAGTTAACTCATTAGAAAGCACATCAACATTGACACTGTTAAAAGCTCCCGCAACATCAAAGAATACAGACACCATAGTTTGATTTTTTACTAGACAATTTTGGATGTCAAGTTGTAATTGGCAGATACTTTCACGAGATGAGCGACCTCTTCTAAATCCAAACTGATTCGAAGGTAAAATGCCATTTTTTTCCACATAGAACTCCAATCTTTGCTTTAGTAGTTGTTCAAAAATTTTTCCTACACATGAAGTTAGTGCAATAGGGCGATAAGAATCTTTATCCAATTTAGGCTTATTAGGCTTTAAAATAGGAACCAAGCAATCTATTTTCCAACAAGGTGGTATGTCATTGTTTTCCCAAAGATGATTTAAAACCTTCAAAAATATCTGCAAACTAGAATCACTAAGAGTTTTCAACATTTTATAAGGGATACCATCCAATCCAAATGCACTTTCTCTTCTGGAGGAGACTGCGTTTTTCAATTCTGTTATTGTAAATGGTTTTATTAAAAAGAGGTTGGTGGAATTTGATTGAGATCTATTGTAGGAACAGTCCTGATGAGTAGGTACATAATCAGGAGTATATTTCTTAAGAAAAGGTAAAACCCAGCTGTCACAGTCTGGATGACTTAAAATAAAAGATTTATTGAATTTACGCATATATTTCCAGATTACAGTAAGAGGGGTACAACGATTGAATGAACTACACAAATCAGCCCAGCTTTTTGATCTTTCAGTTTTAAGGGTGAGTTTTTTTAAAGCTTGCAACCTTTTAAATTCCAAATAGGTTGTTTCTGATGGATTATTTTTAAATGTAATATATGCTTGTTTAGAATTACTCACAGCAACTGAACAATTATTATTCCACCAAGGTAATGAGAGTCTTTTGCCAGTTTTTCTGTTGGTAGAGTTGGATTTTAATTTGGTAGGGGTTAAAGACTCTGTGGCTGAATAAAGAATTTCACAAAATAGTGTATAAGCCTCCAATGGGGTGTATGATTGAACACAAAACTCAGATAAAAGACTTTCAACTTTACATTGATACATTTTCCAATCAACCAGTTTAAAATTTTTGAATATTGGAAAAGTGACCTTATCATCCATGACATTATTGTTATTACAATCTTGTTGGTTGTTGACATTGAGACTAATATTTGTTTTTACAGGTAGATGATAACTGCCGAGAGGATCATCATGAACAGACCATTCACAAGATAAAGCCAAAGAAGGACTAACTATGGTCAAATCTAGAGCATTGGGCCGCCAAGTTAAAGAGCCAACTGTGGTTGGTTGCCCATCATTAAGAAGAATCAAGTTATTTTCATCAATGATATCCAGAATATCTCGACCACGAGGATTTGTGGAATTACAGCCCCAAGAAGAGTGATGACCATTAAAATCACCTGCAAAAATCATCGGACCAGGGATAGATTTTATAAGAGAATCTAATTTGCTTTTACTAAAGGCAGGATTAGTATTTGGAGGACTGTAAAAGCTAACAATTGATATATCTTTATTTCTTATTGTAATACGAATACAAATATTTTGCAAAGTATTATCAAAATTTGTATTGATTTTAGTATAAACAATGTTATTGCGAATTAATATTGCAACTCCATTATGTATATTATCAGAATCATTTCTTTCTATGTTGTAACCTTTTATTTTGAATTGTTGATTCGGTCTTAGCCAAGTTTCTGATATTAATGCTAAATGAATGTTGTGTTCATAAAGAAAATTTGTAAATATGAGCCTACTGCTTACTAAACTCTGAGCATTCCATTGTACAATATTTAAGTTAGCCATTTTTATTTTTGGAAGGTATTTTTCTGAATGTATTATGTAAATTTTCTTTTATAGTATTACTATTTATAGGTACATTCTTATTAGATACTATATTCATTATTGTTTCTACTAATAAATTCATAAATAAGTCTGATTTTGATAAATTATTTAAATGTGTTTCTATCGATTTTTCGGCAAGTTTGGGAAATGATTTTTCATTAAACAGTTCTGAATACTGCACAGCTCTACTTTTAATTTTGTTGTCTTCGATCTGTTGCTTTTTAATTGGACAAGAGGATGAGATGGCTACGTGATTACCTCCACAGTTAGTGCACTTTGCATTTTCTATATCAACAGTACAAGATTTATAATTATGATTTGTCGAACAAATTGAACAGACTTCATTATTGCGACAAAACTTAGCAATGTGACCGAAACGCATGCAACGTAGGCACTGCTTAACAGGTGGAACGTATGGACTGACCTCGTGTCTCCAATGGTCTAGATATACGTATTCTGGCAAC